GTATCAAATGGTGAAGTAATCTTACCGAATTCACTTCAAGTGAGTGATTTGGTGACACCTGCTTGTGAGAATCAGTGATATAATTTGGAAATTGTAAATAACCAATAAATTAGGCCTAGGGACACACTGTCACCTCTTCCCCAGCCTGATCCTCAGAGCAGTCTCGCTGCCACCGCCTCCTGCCTCTTTGCACATCAACCCCAAAGGATCACAGGAAACAAACCGCGGATATGCCAGGACATTCCTGGAAGTTTGTACATTTTGTTTCACAGACGCTACACCGAAAACAATGAACAAACTTTGAGATTACAAATGGTCTTGCTAACAGTTTCAGACTTTCAATTTTGACTTCCTGCCCGCAGGAAGGAAATGACAGCTGGGAGTGTGGGGAACAGGTGTTCCCTGGACAGCATATCTTCTGCTTACTAAAATAAAAAGCACTGCATCAACACTCCCACATGGAAGTGCACGCTAACCGCAAGACTCAGTCTTTCCACCACAGGCCCAGCTTCAGAAAGCCAGCTATGCTTCCTACCAGGAAGTCGTTAAACCCAGCATTGCAGAGCAGACGAGGGGCACAATTTTTCTGAGTCAGTCTTGGATGAATCTAAGTAAAGAATCAGGGTGGTTTGAAAATGTCCCCCTTCATGTCCTTCCAATTATTGGAGGTGTAATTGCATGGTGGACTCGTCAGGGGACTTAGAAGGGAAAGAATCGGGATTGGCATAAACTGAAGGGTGGGTGATTTTAAACCCTCTTTCTTCTCCCCTGGCCTTTGTCTCCAAGTCTAGGGTCTGGCATGATTTCCTCCCAGGAGTGTAATGTTGGCATATGGCGCAATGGCAGTCTTTCCCTTTGCCAAGCTAGCGGATTCCTCTATCCCTCAGGAAGAAACCTTCCCTGCCTCCCATCTGTTATGGAAAGTGTGGACAAATGACACCAGAAGGACTGAGGACTGAAATAACTGAAGGCTGTACCTTGAACCGGACAAATACTAGACAGTCCTCTCCAGCGGCCTTTGGATCGATCCATTACCGAACACGCCTTTTTGAGGACACGTGGGTTGAAAGGTTGGGAAAGATACTGTAACACGGGGACTCCTAAAGTCTTTGTGAGTGCAAAGGGGCATAGTCTTTTCCTAACACGCATGATGCGAGTAAGAAACTGCCACCCCTGGGGGCTTTTCTTTTCTCTCTTTTCTAGAGAGACTCTAAGGAGCCATGGCCACGGAGGAAGGAGGCATGGGGGCTGGAATCGGGACCACGCAGGGAAACTGAAGCTCCCGAGTGAACAGATTGTCTTGTGACAGGTTGTACGTGATTTCTCCTTCTGCAAGGGACAGCATTCCTTTGGAATAGATGAGTTAGCCACTATCAAAGCCTAACACAGACCCACTGCCCACCACTCCTCTTATCCTCCATCTGCTCCTTCCTCCCACAGGTATGCTTTGGTGGTCGGCACTGTGCGGAGACAGGAGGACACGCAGTTGAAAGCAGATGTTCTCTGCCTTCCAAGAGCGTTGGGTTTTGCAGGGGACCCAGTGCGCCAACAACAGGGAGGGAAGTGTTGCAGCAGAAGCCTGAATGATACAGAGCATTCAGCAGATGTGTGGACATAAAGGAGGAAATGCTCACTTCTGCTGGGAGGGGGCGAGCAAGGAGAGGATTCATACCGGGTTTCACTGAGGACTGAGGGCGAAGGCTCTCCTTCACCCTCTCCTGTGAGAGCAGAAGGCAAACTCACACCCAAACGCCCCGCCAGGAAAGGGTTCCTCCAGGCCTTCTCCCCTCTTCCGTTCGCCCCTGGCTATTTCACTGCTCTTTAGTACACCCTTAAAGAGAGAAAGTGGAAGTGGAATTTGTTTCTTTTGCTTCTACTGAAAGGTTAGGGAAAACAAATTAGTGGAGGAGAGGTAACAAAAAAATAAAGCACACCATAAAGTCCCCTCCACCAGAGGCCTTCTCTGATCAACTGTATTTGGATTTTTTTGGTCAGTCCTCTCCTCTGAATCATCAGTAGTTTTGCATATAGTTTCCATATGATATCTGCCCCCTGCTTGTAAACATATTCTTTTGTCTTATACTGAAGCTCTTTCGGTTGCAAAGAGCAAAGTCCCCGTTTTGTAAGAATGCATGTCAACTGGAAAGTTCAACCGAGGGACTGGTCTTTCTTGCATCTCCCTGTTGATTTGTTCCAGTTGTCTTTCTGTCTACCAACTCTTCTATTCCCTCACCATTTGGCTTCCACTTGTTCATTCATTCATTCATTGCTTCATTCATTCAGTTAGCAAGTAGTTACCAAGTGTCATTGGCATGCTGGAAGTGGTTCTAGCACAATATAGTTTGGGCTGTTCTAATCCTAACTTGATCAAAGTCATGGCCTCTTTTAATTCCACTTATTAAATTCTCCCCATGTTTCTTAGTTCAAATTCCTAAGGGAAAGCGATTGGCCCAGTTTATGCCAGGCCGTACTTAGATGTCCGGACATTCTGTGGCCCAGAGCCTGTTCATCCTGATGTAGCTGGAGAAAGCCCTTCACAGACCTAACCTGCCCGGCTCACTCGGTAAATGTTCTCAGGCCTTATCTGTGCATTTGTGTCATCTCTCCACCCAGAGTGGAAGTCAATACTAACTGTGCGGCTACCATGACCTGCACACAATTACTTTTCAAAGAACAATGTTAACAAGTCTTCCCTTTACATGGAGTTGGGCTCATGGTGGGCAGTGGGGGAGACTCAAACCTCTCTCCCACTCAGAGAAAGCACAGCTAGTTTTCACAGCACCCCGCGTGGTGGAGGGCAGCAGATCTCATCACAGGAATGCTCACACTCTTGGGTGGTCTTTGAAGGGAAAGGTGGAGAGAGATCAGGAACCAGAGGAGGATTTATAGGTAAGAAATATAAAGTGAGTGTCACTGTTAATTCCCATACATGGAAATAAAATGTAAGCATTTAGTATGTAATTACAGAACTGGGCAAGGTTTCTTTTCTCTGGAGCCAGGATATTTTTATTCAGCAACTGTCTTCAAATGATCAGGTCACAATTCCTATTAATACATAAAGTGTGTATAAGAAATTGTAATACAATATAGCATTGATGACTCAAGACAGAGGTTTCGTAGGTTAACATAATTTGTAACTAGTATAATTTATTTTTATGTTAGTCCTCACCTGAGGATATTTTTTTCCATTGATTTTTCAGAGAGAGTGGAAGGGAGGGAGGGAGAAAAGAAGGAAGGGGGGGGGGAGAGAGAGAGAGATGAGAGACACACATCAATTGGTTATCTTCCACACATCAATTGGTATCTCCACAGGCTCCTGGACTGGGCCAGTAATGGACCTGCAACCCTTTAGTTTGGGGGCCCACGCCCTAGCCACTGTCACTAGCATCTTTTAAGGGGCATTTTTGTTAGGGGTGATATAGAGCATCAATGTCAGTTACATGATATTGGAAATAGCTGGCCACAGAACTGCTGCTCAGTGTCTCCCTGCCCCATCCTTCCATATCCTTGTCACCATTCCTCCACATCTCTTCTTTTCTTTGAGAGGACTTCTGCCAAACGTCAGGGAATTCAAACTTCAAGTTCAAATAAAATACTAGATAGCTTGAGGCACTGGCTGACTAGTCCTGCAGCGGGAGGGCAGCAGGTGCTACTCCTCAGAGCCACCACCAGAGCCGGGTCCACCCGGACAGCCAGGCAGTGCAGGGCCCCTTCTGCGAAGGGCCTTGGGACAGAGGAGCCCAGAGGAATATCGGCTGCACCAGGCTGACAGCAGGCGCACAGGGCCGTCTGAAGAGCGAGCATGTGGGAGGATTCGAGTGCGTGTCTGTGGTGGAGCTCCTCTCAGCACCCCCGCTCCTCCTCCATTGCTCCCAGCTGGCTTCCTGCCTCCAGATTAGTGTCGCTCCCGCCCTTCCTCCACACCTGCACTCCCTCCCCTTTCCAGGTGATTCAGTTCAGGAACAATTGCCTACACACACACACACACACACACACACACACACACACACACACACACTCCTTTATGGGATATTTACGTTCTGACCCCAGCTGACTTTTCTAATATCACCTTCCCGTTTCCTGCCGCCACACTGGACGCTGTAACCCATTCCAGCCTCCTGGCTCCTTTTTGCTGTCTGAAATGTCACTGCCACCCAACGCCTGCCCCCCATCCTCCTCGTCCTTCTCGTTCCCTCCCTTCCCACAGCCCAAAGAGGAAGTTCTCTGCTGTTACCATAGCATTTAGCTTATGATTCTGACTCAGTTACTTTTTGTTGCTCAGGGGTTTGTTTCCTCCTGCGGACTGTGAGCATTTTCAGGGCAGGAACCTCTGTCACTCATTCATCCTCACACCCCAGCACCTAGCAAAGTGCTCGTCACAGGTGCTACGCAAGGATATCCAGGGAAACAATTGTATTTTAAGCATGTGATGTGCTTTTGGGCTAGATGTAAATAGCTCTTAACTCCGTGTTAATCCCGATAATAGGTTTATATTGCCATGTTAGTTTCCTGACCAGCAAAATAGCAATAAGGTATAAAAATAAATAAATAGCAATTAGTGTGTAAGAACAAATAAACAATTTAAGTGCCAGGAAGAAGCCTGGTTAGAAAGTTAGCAGAATAAATCCAAACTCGCTTTGCAAGCACACTGAAGAAAAATGAGGTGTCGTTTTCCAAGATGAAGACTCAGGTTTTAGGATAGTTTGCTTTGCCTGAATTTGCTTAGATATAGATATAGGGGATTGGATTCCCCTTTAACTGTAAAGTTATATTCTTCTATGATTCTACTTCACAAGCGTTAAATGTTACATAAACTATTTTTGTGTCCAAATGAGCAATAAAAGCTCCATGAAGATACCTCTTTTTCACAGTGCTTCACAGCATGTTCTGAAGTCCATCTGACTTCTAATAACAGATGTGCAAACACACGAGGTGATCACTTCCACAACTGCTCTGTTTCTTTAAGAGACCTCGGTTGTTAAGTTGAAAGATCACTGGACCATAGGAGGGTCAATAAAAGAATAAAGTCACTGGTTAGTGATTCGAGTACAAGGAACTTGATCCTAGTTCATATCTGAGTGTCCATATGCTGCTCACCGTCGGAGGGGGAGTGTTGGGCCCGCGGCTGCTCGCACTGCCTGGAGATGGCTTCCGGAAGACTCATCAAGCTCCTGGTGTTCGAGCTTCTTGAGTTTGCTGCTTTCTCCATCCCCACGCTCGTGATTGTGGAACAGTTCGCCACTGCCTATCAATGGTCAAGGGATAAAAGAGAAAAAACTCATTATTGGCTGATCGTTTCCTGTTCAATTGCCTATGTGGCTTCAGTGAGTCTACTGATCTGGGTTCCCATAAAAGTTCTCTTATACAAGAAACATCATCTTTCAAAAAAAATTAAAGGATGGTAAGTAAAAGAATTCTTTAGCAGGGAATCCTTCGGATGCTTTCAAAGATATTTTCTCATGTGCTTTGTGTAAGGACGTTAGTGTAGCAGAAATGTGCATAGTGTAAGATGAAGGAGAAGTAACAATCACTGTTTCTATCAATGTATTAATATTATAGCATCTTCCATATTTGTGTGGGGTTCTTTTTACTGATGGATAATAATTAATTCCATGTGTTTATAAGATAGGCGTTAACCTGACTGCATGATACCGTGAGCAGTAAATGTTAGACTTAATTCCTTTGTACACCAACTGCATAAAGTTATGACAGTTAATTTACAGAAATAATCACCACAGATTAGAATATAGAATTCCACTTTTGTATAAAACTGAAAGTAATGTGTATTTTTAAATGTTTTTAATGCTTGGTTTGCAGGTCTAAGGCATCCTTTGACCATTAACCAACTGAGATTTTTAAGCAACTAGCTCCTTTAATGAGCTTTTCAAAAATAATATTTCATTGTGTCCAGAAATTCTATTACCCTGGTGGGGTAGAAGTATTTAAATAATAATACAAAATACTTTAAGTAAATTAAGATTTAATATTGATTTAACTGACAGTTTAGCGAATGGCTGTACCGACTGACCCATGTGAAGGTATTGAGAATAATCTCTGATACTAATACATTTTTCTTTTTCGATCTTCAGATCTGATTCTTTCTCATCTGGGATATCTTTGTTTTCTTTGATATCTTAAATCTTCTTTCATTCAGATCTTTTATTTTAAAGTTAAATGGCATAGAGTGTGTTTGAATTTTAAGATAACCAGGGGTAGAAATGTAAAAATAATAAATATAGCTATGCCTGTGGGAGGGTGCGGAAGGGGAGAGCTGAAGTGTGGCTAGAGAAGTGCTCTTTAGATACCGATACTTATATGGCCTCGAGAATCACACTTGCCAGGGGGCTTCAGTTCCCTGTGGGCAGAGCTCCCGAGACGGGAAATAAAACATTTGGCTGGCTGCTTTTATCGGTGGCATTCAATGTCAGAAAGAATAAGGAAAAAGTTGCATGAGGTAGAGGAAATAGCACAGAATCAGGGAGATCCGGACTCTCAAATGTGAATTTGCATATTTTAACATATGTGGTAATATAGAGTGTGTCGTGTATCTTAATTGCTAGCAGAAGATGATGCAAACCTTGACCCAAAGCCTCTAGATCAGTGGTTCTCAACCTTCTGGCCCTTTAAATACAGTTCCTCATGTTGTGACCCAACCATAAAATTATTTTTGTTGCTACTTCATAACTGTAATGTTGCTACTGTTATGAATCGTCATGTAAATATCTGATATGCAGGATGGTCTTAGGCGACCCCTGTGAAAGGCTCATTCGACCGCCAAAGGGGTCACGACCCACAGGTTGAGAACCGCTGGTCTAGATCATCTGAGGGGTGGGTTTGGAGTTGAGCGGGGCCCTCCACTCCTCATACCCCTGGGAGTTGCTTTGACTGTCTAAGACTCTGGCTGGGCCAGGGAGGAAAGTCCAAGAGACCACGAGAGTAAACCAATGGGAAGCTGGCCTGTGGCACCCCAGGAAGGGGCTTGCTTATTTATTTATTTATTTATTTATTTTACATTGGCTCAAATTCCTAGGACCCCAAGTTCTTTATATCATTCAGGCAGCAAAGCTTCCCATATCACACATCATCATCATCATCATCATCAAGCTATAATTGCTTCTTTACTGATCTCTTATGTGCTAAGAGACTTATATATGAATTTCCTTTCATTCGGTAACACCTCATGCAAGAAGAAATTGATGATTAGAGAGTTGTGCAACTTTCCCAGTCAACTAGTGAATGGAAGGGCCAGACTTTGGACCTAGGTCCTTCTGATTCCATGATTGGTACTCCTAACCTCTACCCGAAACTGCCTTTTGAAGCTCCCAGTCTCCTGGGGCGACTGAGTGTAAGGAAGAGAGTAGGTTTCATTTCTACTCTGCAGTGAACATGTTTCTTTTGTGTATCTGCTTTAGGTCATCCTCCCGTGTTAAGGTGTCTTATCTTTCAGTAATTTCTTTTGGAAAATACTCTTTCCATTCTGTTTGTGGGTGTGGCTGGCTACAAGTGTTCTAAATATGTGACAGGTTATCTATAACTTCAATGAGACTGTAAAACTATTTCCTCATGGCCTCAAGCATGAGCACTATCATATTATTATCTCTTCCTGGCATAGAAGAGAAGAAATAGCTACTGAGCACTATTCTAGGAGTTTCATGCATTCTGTACTATTAAATTTGAACTTTGTGACAATTCAGGGAGATATGTGCTAGTGTCAGATTTCATAGATGAAGAATAGAAACTCAAAGAAATGATTAACTTTGCCAGGTGACAAAGTTCGTAAGTGGTGGAGCTGGGATTTGTGAGTCCAGATCTGCCTGATTCTGTGCTATTTCCTCTATGTCATGCAACTTTTTCTTTATTCTTTCTGACTTTGAATGCCAAGTGTGTTTCAAGAAAAATTCAACCCTTTTAGTGTCATTAGGATACATTTCCCCTAAAGATGGATATTGGGATATTATATGTTTCCCAGATGTGTGAATTTGGATATTTTAATATATGTGGTAATATAGAGTGTGTCGTGTATCTTAATTGCTAGCTGAAGCTAAGCAAAAATAATTGCTACTATAGAAAGTAGGTATTAAAAGTATGAATTATTCTTTGAAGAGTAAATAGCTGTTTATGTGACATTTCATCGGTCTTTAGCATTTATGTATTGTTGATGGGCCTATTTGAGAACCTCCCTGCAGGTCTATGTTGGCATCACGAGCCCACGAGGCTGGTTTCAGAAGAGAGTGAGTCATCCAGCTACTAAAGGGTGTGTCCTGGCAGTACATCTGAGAGGTGCAGACCTGAGTCATCGACCTGCCTGCCAGTGTTGGGAAGCTGACCAAGTGGATGTAATTCCCATTGTATAAAGGAGGAAACAATGTCAGAGAGCTGAAGACATGCACACTAAATCAACAGTAGGGTCTGAACTTTCATACAGTGCTCCTTCCTTTACTCTTGTTAAACACTTCCTCATTCTTTTAGAATGATTGTTCCTTTTTAGGGATGCCTGTCATAACTCATAACAGACTAGGCAGATGGTTTGAGGAATGAAGAAAAGCTATTTATATATAGACCAAATTGTATATCCCAATAAATAAGAAACCCTTTCCTGTAATAACAGTGAATGTGTGAAACCATTGAGCAAGGCTAGCCGGAAGCTGGAGCAGACCTCGAGGTACCCCGAGGAGAGGGTACCTCGGGGCAGAATAATACTGGAGGATTCCTAGGGATTCCTGCCCTGCCTTGGGACAAAGGGCTATCTTTCAGGCATTGTCTCAAGTCTTTCAGAGTTTAATTGCTTTAGACATGGCATGTCAGAAATCCTGGGCAGTGCCAAGTGTAAAAGACTCCAACATTTTGGGCTACATTTTACCTTGCTGAAGTCCTTCACATATTCGATGAGCTTTTGCTGATGATTTGTTTAAGGTAGTGGTAGTTATAGCAGTTGTAAAATAAGAGCAAATATTTATTGAACAGTTACTATGTACCAAGCATAGTTGTAAACACATTGCCTCTATGATTGTAATTAATTCTGTAAGCTTTATATGTAAGAACACCTATAGTACCCACTTGACAAATGAGAAAATGGGGGCACAGAAATTAAAAGACCACCTAGCCAATGAGTACTGGAGCCAACATTGACCCTAGGGCAGCGGTTCTCAACCTGTGGGTAGCGACCCCTTTGGGGGTCGAATGACCCTTTCACAGAGGTCGCCTAAGACCATCGGAAAAACACATATAATTACATATTGTTTTTGTGATTAATCACTATGCTTTAATTATATTCAATTTGTAACAATGAACATACATCCTGCATATCAGATATTTACATGACGATTTATAACAGTAGCAAAATTACAGTTATGAAGTAGCAATGAAAATAATTTTATGGTTGCGGGTCACCACAACATGAGGAACTGTATTAAAGGGTCGCGGCATTAGGAAGGTTGAGAACCACTGCCCTAGGGTGTCTGTCTCCAGAGCCTGGTCTCCCGAGCACCTTACTGTTCCATAGCAGCACCAAAAACATCTGGGCACGGATGGGCAGACTGGACAACCTCTAGGAAATGGAGCTTGTCTTTTCAGCACCTCTGAGAATGTCATCGTAAACTACCATGAACTAAATAAACACTGGTGCTTAATGGTTACTTCTTCCCAGAGCACATCTCTCCGTGTGTCTGTCACCTTAAATTACTCAGTAGTAATAATTATGTGATACCTGACTACAGGCTTTCTCTTCCTTGTCCAGCCCCTCCATAATCAATAAATCAGCAAGAGTATATTTACTTTTGCATTTCTTTCCCAGCATATGCAGTAAGTCATCAGATTCTGTTAATTCTTCCTCTTTCATTTCTCTTGCATCAGCTTCTGGTTCTCCATGACTGTTTTCCTCAACCCAGCGAGGCCCTCATTTCCAGAGCCACCTTACACTGGCACGGTTCCCCCAATTTCCATAAGTTCCAGTTCATTGTCAGCTCGTTGTCCTGGTTGTTTTGTTCAAGGAAGCCTGAGGAATATTGTGTTATCCCAAGCTGGGACTGGGCAACCTTCAACAGCAGGTGTCCTTGTCCTTCGCTTCTTTCTACTTCCCCTTTTCCTCGCAGTCCTTGTTGACAGAGCAATGATCTTGGAAAATGTTTTCTGCATGTCAGTGCCACCACTTAAAAATCTACACTTCCCTTACTTGTATAATTCAGGGTTGACATTATACCACAGAATCCGAAAGCTGGACCACACCTTAGAGTTCGCCTGCTACACTATTTCTCACAATACAGATAGACAGTCTACCTCTGATTTGAAAGGGAATTCACTGTATTTTGATGTGATGTATTGACTTCCATGCCAACTGTGTCACTTGTTTCATGACTGAGGGTGTGATTGACTAAAATTCCTTGAAAAACTTGCTCTCAATGC